ACACTTACGCAGATGGAGACAGGTATGATGGCGAACGGCAAGATAGTAAGATGCACGGTCGAAGAATTCGCACATTGGCTTGTGGGAACATGTATCTCGGCGAGTACAAAGATGATAAAAAGCATGGTGGAGGAATCTACACATGTGCGAATGGGGACAGGTATGACGGCGAATGGTAAGATGCTTAATCAAGTGTGACTCATGATTGTTGACCCAGCCGTCGGGTGAAGTACTATGGACTTATGCAACGCATATATATTTTAGAAATACGTTGGACTCTTTTAACCTTAAAGACATAAACTAATTCAACTATAACGAACAATTTCTCGTTTTTTGAATTTTTTGAATAATACCTAAATAAAGGCTATGGTAAATGAGGAAATCAAAATTGAAATTAGTTTATCAAATTATGTGGTTTGAGGTTCGAATTCCTTATTCTCAAAAGTTGCTACCGAATAATGGATATTCACATTCATAAAAGCGCTGTTCATCAAAAAGATTGACGATTGTTTCATTCATCTGGCGGTACGTGTATATTTTGTAATCTTCGATCTTATCCAGAGAAGTCCAGCTTTTCAAAAGTGTACGACTGCTTATGTTTCGCTCGTAAAGTAAAGTAAACAATTCGCCATGTGTCAATGATTTAAATGAATCGACGGGCGTGATCGAATGCGATACGGTACAAAAGTGTAAACATGCTCATAGGAAATGACTGAAAAATATATGCAATTCTACTCCATAAAATCTATAGAGAATTTCTTGTTATTTGTTTTGTAAAATAGTTCCGGATATATTAATTCGTTTCGAAAGTGTCGAACAAGGGCAAAGAGAATGAGAGGAAGCAGCATGATGTGATGGTGTATTAGAAATGATTAAAGTATCACTTTTAGAATTTGGTATAAGCTTTATTTTATTGTACTATGCAATGAAGAGAAGAAGAAAAAAAATATTGGATAAAAGACATATGAACACAATAAAAAGAAAGAGGAAGAACCCATGAGATCATTTTGAAAAGTTTGCTAATGTACACTGATGTATAGTTAAAGAAAGAGAAAGATTGACACGCCAATTATAAAAGAAATCTAGTATCGCCCAATTCATCTAGATTACTAGATTTTTGCTCGATTGCAACTATTTTGAAACGACAGGGGAAATCTAGTAATCAGGCGATTGGTAGATTTCTCCTAGTTGCAGCTATCAATTTATCGCCCGATAATCGATGGATTTAACTACCGCTAGAATACATGCAAGCGCATCTATTTAAAAGTCCCTTTTCCAACCAGTAATCTAGAATGACAACTAGTCGTGAATCGCCCGATTACAGACGAAATGTATCTAGATTTTTCCCATAGTTGGTTGATATTTGCTTTGGATATAGCGCGGTTAGATAAAAACATATACACAGAATACATGCACGCGATATACATACAATAAGAAAGTGAACGACTAGAAAGAAAAAAATGAGAATGTAAAAGTATAACACATAAAATAATAAAAGGGATTTTTTCGAATATCCAAGAAAGGTGATTAATACAGGGGAGCTTTCGAGTGCTCACTATGCCCATTTCATACTTAAAATAAAATGAACTTTTTCTAGGTGCTAGAATATAGAATGTTCATAAGCGTGGACATTAGGGGGGAACAACTTGAAAAACGCAATGTTTTTCTTTGTGTTGTCCGAACTTGTTCTGTCAAAATTCAACATTTTGAGAAAAACAAGGTCATATTCTAAATCAGGATCAAAAACTAGATCGAATGACATGGATCTCAGTGTTTTGAGGAATATTTGGAGTCTGAGTGAAAATTTTGGTTGTGGATTTTTGAAAAAAACGAAAAACTTAGCCAGGTGACCTTTTATCATCCTGCTCATCTTCAACTGTTATCGGAGTCAATTTGAGTTTTAAAATTTCCAAAATCCGTTTTCTAGACCCAGTTTTTGACGAAGAGTAAGAAAAATTGTTTTGGAATTTTAAAAATAGAATGAATGGTTGAATGTTGAGTTTTATTCAAAATTTTGCTTATTTTCACATATTTTTCCAATATTTAAAATTATTTTAACTGAAAAACGTGTTCCAAAATTGTGGGATTAAGCTTTTTCTATGCAACTCGATGTGCTCTATCCAACTATGCCAAAAAAGCGGAAAATAAAGTTCTGCACCTTACAAGAACAGAAGAGAAAGAAAGAACATATGAACATACCATTCTCGTTTCAGATCGGCAATAGTTCACAGATAAATTTTGTTTGAAAGAAAAATAAATATTTTATTTCAGACTCAACTTTAAGAATGAAACTTTAAAGATCGTTTTTCTGTCCTACAGAAAAACGGCAAATTTTTCCGAAAAATTAAGATTGTTTTTTTGAAAAAGCGTTTTCTAGCGCTAAAAATCTTCTAACCTGGAACCGCGATCCGAAAAGCTTCGTCACGCATGCCCATAATTGATTTCCGATACTGCATCATTTGTATTGTTTAAAAATTGGTTCCAGAAATCGAGGAAAATCTTTCCTTTTGTCTGAAAAGTTTTGGCGACTTTCGAATATGAATAATGGCTTACCCATTAAATATGATGCCTCTGATCTATTCAGATTATCTTTGGTTTGGTTTATTAAATTCAGACTATGACTGAACTTGATCGATATACATTTTTTCTGTTGAACTTAGCTGATTTGAAGCTTTACTCTAGTATCGTCGTTAATTATCTGTTGTCTACAGTAACATTGAGAGAATATTTCATTATTCACTGTTATCAGAATCAGTAATATAAATATTATCGGAACTATCTATGAATATATAGTACAAATTGGATACACTAATGAGGGAAGATCCCTAATTGATAAATCACTTTCCAGCCAAAATTTAGTGATTACACAAATAGATCTGAGACTTCAAGTTACTTTCTGAAACTCCCTGACATGACTGCAAGAGTTACGTTTCTCCCATAGAAGATTTAATGAAGGCACAACTTGGATAATTTAGATCTAAGTACCATCGTTTCATTTGTTATCAACAGTCACTTTGATTCTTTTGCAGACAAAAGAGATGTGACACCAAGAAAAAGAAAAACTTGCTTGCCCATGTAGTTAAAATCAACCATAAATCAACAATTTTTTAACGATTCATCGACCGCTTAATCGTGCGCCTAAGCGTCAATAGATCGGCTAGTTTCTAGCGATTTCACTGATTAATAGCAGTTATTCGGTGAGTTTTTGATTTAACAGTTAACTAGGCTTCTCGGTACAAACCTGACTTAAACCAAAACAATGAGTCAGCTCTGAGGAAACTACAGAGAACACTCTTGGTAACTCCGTTTTAAACTAAACTAAAAGGATAATCTGAATAGAAGAACATTTCTCGTTGAAATCGTGTTTCTTATATACTTATTCTACTGCAGAATAAACCGGTGAATAACAGAAAACTATATAATCGCTTAAAATCAACAATTAATTACGATTCACGATTAATCGACCATTATTAAAAAAAATGAAAAATCAACATGATCGCTAATTAATTATAATTTTGGTGTTTTTAAGAATCGCGATATATCGGCGATGTTCCATGCAAGCGGATTAAACACCAGTTGTTAAAAATCGTCGATATATCGCAATTTATGGATGTTAATAGTCAAAATTGCGATTAATTTGCGATTTTATTGCAAATTGCAAGTAATCGTCCAGAATGGCTCGATTTTAACGACATGGGTAGAGACGAGTTGTATCATACGACTGACAAGTTCGAAATATAATAGGTAAGGACTACTCTCTTACGGTGTCGAAGAAACGTTCAAAAACTGTTTTTTGAAGCATTTTCTTACAGATTCGGTCTCTACAAAACCTTTGGAAAACAAAAGACTGTGGAAGAATAAGGTCTAACTAAGCTAAGTTTCAGAGAAAAATGCAAAATGTATGCACTGTAGATTGTATGCAAAAGCAGAGAAAAGTGTCAAAAATGTAACAGAGTCTCGTCTGGACAAACCGTTCAGTACTCGAAGAAGTTCCAGCAGACAAAAAAAAGCGGACATGCATGATATTCCATGTGATGAAAATCGCGAAAAAATCGAGGATTTTATCGCGATTTACGGACCGATTAATTGTGCGCTTTATCGCGATAAAATCGACCAGTTTGGCGATTTTTTTGCTGACTTATCAGCCAGTAAAATATGATCGTATAAGTTTCAGCCTCGAGGCTGAAACTTCTATGCTATAGCATACGACACCTATTATTAAATTGGTCTGAGCTCAACAAATCCCTCATAATAGCTATTTTCTCTTTCTCTGAGTTGAAAAATATTAAGTTAAGTAAATAACTGATTTAGCCGTAATTTAACGTCAATATAACAAAATCCCCGATTAATTGCGATTAACTGGCGATATTTTTGATAATGGTGATAAATCGTGGTTTCTGGAAAAATTACCAATTAATCGCCATTAATCGGCGATTTATTGTCGAAGTCGCGATTAATCATCCAAACCGAAGCAATTTCGAGAACATAGGATGTAAAAGAAAAAAAGATAGAGCAGTACGCTTCAAAAAAAGACTAATTCAGTTTGTGATACGAGTTAAAAAGATCTCTCATGAGGTTACAATCTATCTGAATTTGAAGTTGGAAGTGAGACTAGGGCTGTCAGATTTAACGTTAATTAACGTTAATTTTCGTTTAACGTTAACGTAAAATACGTTAACGTTAATTTTAACGTAAACGTAAACTACGTTAACGTTAATTTTAACGTAAACGTAAACTACGTTAACGTTAATTTTAACGTAAACGTAAAGTACGTTGACCTTAATTTTAACGTAAAGTTAATGTGACAGTCCTAGCTTTAGTCACATATAGGGCTGTCAGATTTAACGTTAATTAACGTTAATTTTCGTTTAACGTTAACGTATTTTACGTTAACGTTAATTCTAACGTAAACGTAAAGTACGTTAACGTTAATTTTAACGTAAACGTAAAGTACGTTAACGTTAATTTTAACGTAAACGTAAAGTACGTTAACGTTAATTCTAACGTAACGTTAATGTGACAGTCCTAAGTGAGACAACTTGACTATATCTTGGTGGTGGCATTTCTGATGAAAATGGAGGTGGCGGCGGTGGCTCGACAACTCTTTCAGTTGGTCGAGTTGATCTCACTGTCATTGGCGTCTCTGATAATCTAGTATGTTGATTATTAGAAGAATCTCCTCTTTGATCACTGTCATCACCATTGCAACTTGACATATAACAATAACAACAACAACTAATACAAAGTCCAAAAATTAAAAGGAATATTCCACCAACTATGAAACCAATTGCTTTCGATCTAGAGCGTCTTTTCCATTGAATTTGTGTGGTGTAATTAGCTAAGATTGGTAGATATATATAACATGGATATGTATGATTGACCTAATAGTGAAAATGCAATTTTAAAGGCAGTAATTCACTCTAGAAATACTACGTACTTGATATGTATTCACTCTCTGCCACGAATATGTATCTGAATTGGCAGCTGTATTATCATAAAATATTATTGTTCTGTTGATACTATTCGGATTATAGGAATTATTCTGAACAGCAATAACTGTAACAATCCAAACAGCTATAAATGGTAGTTTAAACGTAGACCTACTGTTTATAACGGTGGCCGACTGAACTGAACAGAGTTCTAGGGTGTAATGATTTATTGCATGTAATTGAATGCCTCCCAAAACAATTAATATGCCCGCGCCAAGTTTCCAGGCAACTAAGAATAACGTTGCAAGTGCATTTCTCTTGTTTTGTGGCATTTTGTTATTTGGAAGAAGATTTTTATGAAAGTATTATTGCTTAGAAATAAGCGCATATGGCTGTTCTTTTTTTGGCAATAACTACAAAAACATGGGATAGGGGCACGCTTCGATGGTTTGCTTGAGGAGTTGACTCAGCACTCTCTAAGAAAAAGAAAAGCAAAAGAATCGCGTGTGTTTACACGGTCATCATTTTCTCTGATGTTGACATCAACTGCAGCTCAGAAGCTAAGCACTCATTTATGGTTTGGAGAGTTCTTTGTTTTATAATATGAAGAAATGAAATTTTTTTCTCAGAAAACGAAACTTCAGCTCTGAACACCTTGCCTATTGCATTTTCCAACGTCCCAAGCAAATATCACCTATGCGATAAATCTAGATACATTTCGTCTGTAATCGGGCGATCTACGACTAGTTGCCATCTAGATTACTAGTTGGAAAAGGGACTTTTAACTAGATGCGTCTGCAGGTGCATCTAGTAATACTTAAATCGATCGATTATCGGGCGATAAATCGATAGTTGCAACTAGAAAAAATCTAGTAATCGCCCGATTACTCGATTTCCATTGTCGTTACACAGTAGTTGCAATCGAGTAAAAATCTAGTAATCTAGCTGAACTCTGTACAAAAATACACCGATTTTCTTTTTCGATGTTCTATCTCGGTCATAAAATTCACCTCGATGCGACATCGGCATCCCCGGTTTACAAGAGGGTCAAAAAAGAGGGGGACGAACCCTTAAGACAGGTTTTTCTTTGTCAAATGTTTCTACTCGGCACAAAAATGTCGCATCTTATGACACTGAACATTTTTGTCAGTATGTCTTCCTCACTCACCAACGAATACACCAAGCCTTCAATTTTTGGCGCTCGGGATTAATGTTGGGTGAGGGTGTGATGATGTGTGCTGGTAAGTCGCTGAGCTCTAACTGGTCGCTTTTTATTTCTGACTTATTTATTATCGATCAATAGCTTCTTGAAAAAGTCTGTTTTAAAGAACAAATAATTTTTTCTTGCTTTTCCTTTTGAGAAGCATTCCACGACACGTTTTGCCCTTGCTTAAGGGCCTCATCAGGTGGTTTCCTGGGATATTTGTTCAAATGATTTGTCAGTGAGGGAGGAAGACATGCTGACAGAAATGTTCAATATCATAAGATGGAACATTTTTGTGCCGAGCAGAAACATTTCACAAAGAGCAACAGAGATGTCATAAGCTTATAGTCGAACGACACGACAAGGAGGAGGGGTGCCCTCTATGGCATAAGTAGACATTCTCTGCCAGAATTTGTTGAATGTGAACCCTCCGTATAATGTGAATTATCGGAGTGACACTTGAACGTAATTTCTCTATTTGAATGAAAGAAACTTCGACCTTGGTGCCATAATGTAGGCATGGCAAGAGGGAGAAAGCTGATTTGAGGATTTTGAAGATTTGAATTGATTTGGATTGACTCAAATCAGTTTTCTCCCCCTTGAGGTATGGTGATGACAACAACAATTTCTTAAAATCTTTTTAATAGAAGAGATGAAAATCTCTCATTCGTGACAGAGAGAGTCATCCTTCATAGAAAAGAGGAAGTATGCCTACATAAATACGCGGAAATTATGCAACATTGAACGGTTTTCTAAGAAGCCCGGCTTGTGACAAAAAAATTCGAAACAGGCATTTTATGATTCACTTTTAGATGTTCTTTCTAGTGAGACGTCGTTCAAAAATGTCGGATAACAAATGACCGAGTTATAGGTAAAACAATGAAGAAGTGGCTTTTACACAGTTTTTCGACAGAAGTAGGCTTTGAAATGCGTATAACTCCTTAACTTTACGTTCAACCTCGATCAAAATTTTTTTCAAGGTGCAGTTTCTCTCATAGATTCAGAATATGTAATAAAAAGTACAGATCAAGTTTGACTATTTTAACAGCCATTTTCGATGGAGTGGAAAAACATGCCTTAAGATGTGTAATATATCTTCTTAACAGGTAACTACCGGAAAGTTCAGCAGCATTGTTATGAATTTTTAAGGATTTATTTTTATTCTAAAATACTCATAGAAGTATCTAATTGTTTTAAACCAATAAAACCTTTCAAACGCGATGATATTTCAGGGGGTCTATAAAGAATGATATTGTATTTTTCCATCAAGATTTTATGTTGCCACGCTTTAAACGCTCATTAGCTTTCATGAAAATTAAACAGTCAATAATCGAGTAGACCATGAAAAAATTAGACGCTTTCTTGCTAGCCTTTTTTACTACTAAAAATAGCAGTTAACTAACAAATAACAGGAAAAGACAGAGTTGGGCAAATCAGACCTTGTCAAGTCCGTTCAGTCAAGTCAAAGAATTCAAGAAACTTTTCTCAAAGCTAAGTGGAATCTTCAGCAACAAAAGTATATATCACTCTTTTGATACTTTGCTTCGTTGCTGAGAAATTCCATTTTTTCTAGAAAACACATCTTTTTCCCAAAAACGGACAAGTATTTTTTCCAAGTTTCCAGTTTTTATCCAAATTCGATGAATAAATGCTTTCATAGCTAAAAACCATCACAGAATCCAGTAGAAATACGTTCCATATTTTAGAGTCTCTTAAAAGGTTTTTGGAAACCGAAAAAGTTGAAAGTTTTCTTATAAATAAATACACTTATTCCTTTTCCTACAAGCAGGATCTACGTTTTATCTACACTGTAAACTAGAAAATAACTTATAGAGTATCATAAACGATATTCTAGGAAAGTCCATACAAATTCGTAGACGAATTTCTACTTTCTTGAAAATAAACTGTTGATATTCAAGTTTCGATTTTCTGTAGGAAATCAAATTGAATTTCTGTTATTTAGAAGATCAAACATTTTCTAAAAGTTTGAAATTCGACGGATGAATAATAAAAGTTTGAGAATGCTTTAGCTTTTTCAAAGTCGATTTTCTATAAAATAGAATTTCAAAAAAATTTACAGTGTAGGTAATGTTTTGAGTTAAACATCAACTTTTATTCAGTTTTGCATTCTTTTCGAATAAGAGGTTGCTCGAACAGAATGAATAAGACACCTTGAAGCAGTAACTTAAATACTATAAAAGACACTTTTTTCGAAATTTTTGAATAAATGGCGGTCTCAGTGTTGTCTCAATATCTCTTTCAGTTTCCATTGTTCGGACTTAAATTTCCCTTTTGAAGATTCATCATTCAATTCTTTACAAGAATATGTCAAAACTTTTGTTGTAAAACATAAAGAAGAAAAATTATACAAAGAATACTGAGAAGCTCCAACATGTCCAACTTTCTAAAGTGATTTTCCTTGGCTTTCCTGAACAGTTTTGTCTTTTTTTCTGTCTCATTCACAATATGTTAACACGATTGAGTAAGTTTTTGGAGTACAACTGAGTGCGCTCTTTCTCATGATCTACAATGAAGTCCATTTCAACCAAGAGTTATAAGGCAAATACTACTTTATTAAAACTGAGCAGAAATCACATATTTTATGCATTACATCAAGGATTATGTACATGGTTATTCCAGTTTCTAATTTCTAACGGATTTGCCAAATTTCCCCGAAAAAGCAACTTTTAAACCTTGTAAAAGTTTGAAAAACCGTAGAGTAAACACTGATGTTGTTGGACTGAAGATTCTTTTTTCGCTATTCGACTTCTATAGTAGAATTTTATTTCATTTAATGGAAATGAAAAATATTGACACAGCTACGAACAGGGAGTTTCGAATAACTGTGAACATCTCATCTCGGAATTTTGAGAATTTTTTTACCAAAAATTGCAAAAAATTCAGATTCGTTGTTTTCCAAAAAATCTGTAGTAAAATTTCGCAACCATCCGCAACCTTTACGGATAGACCCGCTCATCACCCCCATGGCTCCTCCCGTAGGCTACCCCTCACCCTTACCGCTCTCCTCGAGATTATGAAGAGTCACTTAGAAAAGTTCTATAAAGCATGAACCTTTCAAATATTAGACAAATTTGGCATTTGGTAAATAAGGTAATATTTGGCAAATTATCTGGTAAATTTTTCGCAAAGCTGGCTGGCATTTGGCAGATTTGTCAAATTGGGAGCCAAATTTGGTACATATGCCAAAAATTTGCCAAATTTGCCGAATTTTGGGAAATTTCTGGCGAATTTTAAAGGCGACAGAGTCATATTCTATCCTTATGATCTGACCGCAGTGGCCGAAAAAAAACGCTTGCTTTCGCATTTTCATGTCGATCTTTTGCAGGTGTTTTCCCAATCTTAAATATATTGCAAAATCGCTTTCAAAACTTAGCCGTTCAAAATAACTTTGAGCTTCATACGTTAAAAATACACTTCGACTACACTAGCGATTGGAATAAGTGCATACATACTGCATTCATTCAAGTCACTAGTGTAGTCGAAGTGTATTTTTAACGTATCAAATTCAAATTTATTTTGAATGGGTAATTATTGAATGCGATTCTTTTGCAGTATATTTAAGATTGAGGAAAATGCCTGCACAAAAATCGACGGAATCCGTAGCAACAATATTGCTTGTAGGGTTGTAACAATACCAATACTTCCAATACCAATACCACCAATACCAATACCAAAACCGTATTGGTATTGTTACATCCCTAATTGCTTGACCGTTAAATCATTACTAGCTCTTTTTTGAAAACAAACGAAAAGTCACCTCTCTGTTTTTGTTCTTCTTCTCAATCTGTTACCTACCATTCGTAAGCTTTACCACGGTAAATACTGAGAGAAGAAAGGAAAGAAGCAAGCGATATCTGCTCTTTTGATTGTGGTGACACGACAAAGCTGTTCTAAATTTAACAGATTTAGGTCATTTGAATGAATTTCTCGATCGACTTAGTCCTCATACTTGGTTTTTCTTGCTATTACTTGATTTGCTGGAAGAAAACCATAGGGAAGAGATTCTCAACAGCAAGTCGAGTCTCTGTCAAGTCGGGGATCTTTGATTATTGCCACAGAAAGAGCATTCAGTCCTGCCTGAACCATCATCCTCTACCTATTTCCCACCGATTGCTGGAATTCACAATGGAAGACAAATTCACTTAAATTCCCAAACGTCAAGGAACTTTACTTAAATTGAACTAGAGTCAGAGAGAGCTTTCCAAGGACTAAAAATACGAGAGCAGATGAGTAAAAAATAGAGAACCATTCTTTTTTATCACTTTGTCTTCGTCAGGATTAATAAATAACTATAGTCATCGTCTTTCTGCACTATCTATAGTTCTTCAGACACATTAGTTACTAAACTGAATTTAACCGATTTGAAATCAGTCTAAGTCATTCAAAATGCAGTTAAATTCATGAAAATTCAAAAAGTATCCAACCCAGCTGTTTCTCTCTCGTTCTTTTGTCTTTCTTTGAAATAAGATGACAGTTGGTTTTCTGCTTCTTTACAGATAATAGTAATAACTTTTTAAATTCTTTACTACCCAAAGGGAACAGAAAAACAGAAGATTAAAAGAATTATAAATACAACATTCTAACAGTGTGTATGCTTATACAGGGTGGGCATAAAAAACTCACCCGTTCTGTATTTATAATAGACTTTCCCATTTTTTCGAAAACAGCCTGTAAATGCTCCAAACAGTGTTGGTACCACCGCTGACATTTCACTGATATTTATTTATGAAAATTATTTTTTAGAGAGAAAATTATTAACAAGACTTTTTACTGAATATTTTTGAATTCCTTCAAACCTTCGATTATTTTATTATTTCCATCTTTCATAATTTGAATAAACTTTTCATATTTCATATCATCAGATGTTGCTAAACCTCGAATGATTGCTTTGACACATGGTAATTTGAATTTTTCTCTATCGACCATTACGCACATGTCTTGATCAAGTTCGTTTTCGGTACAATACAGTTTTCCCAAATCCTGTTGAAATTTAGCCGTTTCTTTTGCTCTTGACCGCAGCATAACATCATGTACACGATTGAATGATGACAATTGTTTGTGAAAACGATCAGCACCTTGACTATTGTAATAAGTTTTTATTTCACGTAACGATGGGCATTGCTCTTCAGCTTCGGCTGTCACGGGAGAGCTTAGATGAACATCAAGACACAATTTGAAAAAGCCATCTTGACCCAGTGTTAATTTTCCAATCTTCTCCGGACAACAAGTGCCTGCTTTGCACATTAAATCGAGAATTTTAAAATACCAATCTGGTACCATTGACAACCACGTTTTCGTAGATTTATCAAAATCGGCGATATCTTTATCTACTGTTGATTGATCAATTTTACCCAAGACGGATACAATAAGTAACAGAAAGACCAACAATACACGCATGTCTAAAATTAGAATACACTGTGAATTATTCACGATGGATAAGCATTCGTATAGAAATACTTACTGAAGAATAGTCGAAGTATTAAAAGTATAAAATTGTTGTAGAAATGATGTTTAACGAATTTGTTTATTCAAACTTATGAAAATCTTCATGTTTGTCACACCCTTATATAGTAGACGGTTAAAATGACGGTAAAAAAGAATGATAGTTAAACAAATAACAAGGCATAGTCAGTATGTGATAATGTTGTTAAAACAAATCAGCCTATCGAAACAGTTTTCTTTCACAGTTCAGACGTGTAGTTTCTGTTATTTTTCCCGTTGTTAACAATGAGTTTTGAAATTTTATATAGTATTCATTCCTCCTTTGTACACACACTCTGCAATAAAATGTAAAGCCATTGTACCATCGAACAATAAAATCATATTGAAAAAGGGTTTGTCATCTACATATGGCAAGCCGTAGACGGAGTGAAATTGTGTCATGTTTGTAATAACACTCATCACATATTATCAAAACGAAATCTGAAGAACGACCTATCAAAGATCCAAATTTCTTGCCGCATTAATATCTCTCGATGGGCAGCGCAAAATGTTGTCTCCAAAACGGGTTTTATAACCACACATGTTTGCTAGCTGAAAACAAGTGAAGTTTTTTAAATATATTCTTCATCGATATTCTCTTACAGAGATTTGAAATGAATCTTTTTATTATAAAAATTGAGTGTGAAACGTTATCACATGTGTATGCGATACACTTTACAACTTTCACTTACAGTTACAAAAGAGAAAAACATCACGGGAAAGTTTTTGTGTTTAATCATTCGTTTGAAATCATAACGAGGACCGCCCTAGACAAAAAAGATTTGTGAAATGTTATAAGAATCTTACTCAATTCTTATACAAGATCTTCCACAAAAGTGACAAGAATTCTGCTCAATCTTATAAGAGTCTCACTAGAATTCATAAGAAATTGGTAAGACTCAGCAAAACTCGTAAGTTATTCTTATATGATTCTTATGAGAAACATGATCGGCTCTCCTACAGGAAAATCCTAGTATAGTACTGAAAAACTCCGACACTACCAGTGCGGACAGCATCCTATGTTGCACCGGTACGACATTTTTCCTGTCACCGTTTTGTTATCGACGATTGCATTATGTTTTACTCGGACTTTTCCAGCAGTTACAATTTATTACTAGATAAATAAATTGCGCCGTTTCTAGAATAAATGGCTTACCCACAGTATTTCTAGAGTAAATAGCTCCCTATCGTGGAAAGAAAAAATGTGTTCTAGGACAGACTCTTCAACATAAATGGCGATTTCCTACCATAAATGGCTGTGCCATTTCTTAACCTGTAGCATAAATGGCACAGCCATTTATTACTCTCCAGTATAAACGGCTCTTTCTCTTTCATAATTTGTGTATCCGGGAAGGTTGTCCAGCATAAATGGCTCTGCCATTTACTAACCTGTAGCATAAATGGCATAGCCATTTATTACTGTTCAGCATTACAGAAACAAAGGCTATTTTATATCTCTCAACATTTAAGAACAGATTAAGTCAGGCGGTTTGATATTAGAGAGAGACTTGTGCAAGGATAGTAATTTTTTAGTCATTCTTTGTAATTTCTCGTCTTTTCGCGTAAGCTATAGTTGGGCCTTTTCGATAAAATCATGTTTCGGCAAAATGCTTTTGGACAAACTGTTTTTGTGCGAAAAGTTCATAAACTAGTGACCGCTTTCCCCTCGATGTTTCCGAGAATTCGAGAAGCGAAGTACCAATGTTGAGTGGATGATGAAAAAGAGATTATTGAAAGGGGAGATACTGTAATTTCGTATTTTATTAAAACAGTTTAAAAATATTTAGAAGATATATTTAAGACAATGAAACGTTTCGACCTCTTTTAAATTGAGATGTACTTCAGTGAACTTAATAAAATATGTATATAAAATATATAAAAATAAAACTGTAGTTAAAATTCTTATATATAACGTGTGTATTTTAGATTGTAGTGTGACTGCTTCAACTTATTTCTGTATTGTTGCTGGTCTATTTTTCTTTTCTTTTTCTTTTTTCTTTTATCCTCTTTCGAGATCTAGCTATTGATTTTATCTCTCACTCTCTCACAAGGAATAGAATGAAGATGTACTTGTTCGTACGAAAATAGAAGTACCTCAAGCGAAATAAAACACATATTTAAAATATTTACAGAAACAAAGGCTATTTTATATCTCTCAACATTTAAGGACAGATTAAGTCATGCGGTTTGATATTAGAGAGAGACTTGTACAAGAATAGTAATTTTTTAGTCATTCTTTGTAATTTCTCGTCTTCTGTTTGCGTAAGCTATAGCTGGGCCTTTTCGATAAAATCATGTTTCGGTAAAATGCTTCTTCGGCAAAATACTTTTCGACAAACTGTTTTTGTGCGAAAAGTTCATAAACTAGTGACCGCATCCCTCATGATCCAAGAATTCAAGAAGCGAAGTACTCATGCTGAGCGGATGCTAAAAAAGAGATTATTGAAAGGGGAGATACTGTAATTTCGTATTTTATTAAAACAGTGTAAAAATATTCAAAAGATATATTTAAGACAATGAAACGCTTCGACCCCTAATTTATCCCGGATTGACCAATTATGAAAGAGAAAGAGCCGTTTATACTGGAGAGTAATAAATGGCTATGCCATTTATGCTAGAGGTTAATAAATGGCATGCTAGACAACCGCCCCGGATAGACAAATTATGAAAGAGAAAGAGCCGTTTATGCTGGAGAGTAATAAATGGCTATGCCATTTATGCTAGACAACGCTGATTGTAACTGTATAGCCATTTATTCGGAAAAAAGTGGGGGTCAGCCGTTTATTCTAGAAACGGCGCAATTTATTATTTTGTTAATAAATTGTAAGCCTTCGACTTTTCTTCGAAAACATATTGCAATCAAATATATTAATGCGAGCAGACAATGCTTTGGTCTTGTTATAATCTCTATCTGGAAAGGAAAAGTATAAATAGCAAGTCAGGTAGTAAATTCCTTCAGTTGCCTCTGTTCCCTTATAGGTATCATTTTCTAGTACCTAAAAGTGATAAAGTGATTAAACGTTTCATATCAATTCAACTAATGATTAAATTTATTACTAATTACACTCTTACAATCACGTAATTTTAAAAAAAATTTACTAGATGACAGAAAATTTAACAAACTTGGATAAAGGACCAATCAAGAGTGGAAAAGTGAAAGTTTTATCATAAAAAATCCTTTTTCGAACTCTGATGCAACTGAATTATGTTGCTGAACATTTACCTTTCCATTTTGTATTGTATGTATCCATATTCCTTTTCCAACATTCAACAACAGTTTTGTCACACATGCAGGAATCATAGTGGCATGTTTTGATAGGATCTAAACATTGGACGAAATCCCCATCATATAGCCATTTATAGGTGGCCAGTTTTGGTTCACATGAAAACAAATTAAACAAACCAAATCGGCTGTTTTGCGCAGCTGTACCATAACAATTGTCATGCACTTCACAACAACGATCAGTAGCATCAACTGCTTTACCCTCACCACCCCAACCACACCTAGAAAAATAAAATTTTCATATTACTAGAATACAAACAAGATTCATAGACTAATTCACAAACCAGCATCCGTAACGATTGTAACCCAGCCCAAAATTTCCCATTACTTGTTTAATCATAAGTGAAAACTGAGCTAAATTACGAAATTTTGAATCTGGTATTGTCCCATCTATACAAAAAATTGTAAAATGCATAATAGCAAAGAATATTACTCGCACAATAATAGGTGAGCCCATTCTTAAGCAACTATAAGCAGAATTTTATGTTTGTACAGACATCGGCTCTCCTACCAAGTATTAAGTTTAATATCTATATTTCACAAACTACACTTCTGTAGTAAAAGTCAGCTTAGAAGCTAATCCATTCTCTTCTTGATAATACCATGTTATCATATATGCCTCTCTACTGTTTGACAAAAAAAATTCACCTCAATCCATTCCCGTTTTTTGTTTAAAGCTATCTAGCCTGATGTTTTGTGAAATAATTCTCTCTGTTGTACTTACTGAATTGTCGACTCTTGGAGGATTTTGATAAACTGGATTGTGGTACACTGGATTGTGATACATTGGATTGTGGTACCTTGGATTGTGGTACACTGGATTGTGGTACACTGGATTGTGATACATTGGATTGTGGTACCTTGGATTGTGGTACACTGGATTGTGGTAAACTTCGAACCATCATTGAAGAAATGGAAATAACTCCGAATATTATCAAGTATAATTGTCTCATTTTAAAGAGTTTATGCGTTCAAGTCATCTGCATGACTTTTACACTCTGAAAACGATTAATTTATAGGAAAAAACAGATGGACAACAACAAACTTTTTTTGTTTTCGTATTTGTGTAGAATGTGACTGAGAGGCATTAAATTCGTCTGAATTGCATGTTATCATTTTACATTAACTATGATCCGTCTGATCGGAATTGCCATTCCGTACCTGTCGTCCTTTCTCTGTTTTTTCTTTCATACAATAGAGTCATAGCAAATAAGTAATGTTAATATCGGCTACAAAGCGAAAAAATTGGGCTAACATCAGTGACTAATACTGACTATGCCTTGTTAGTTGTTTAACCATCATTCTTTATTCAATTTCACCGTCATTTTAATCCTCTAGTATATAAGGTTGTGGCAAACATGAAGATTTTCATAAGTTTGAATAAACAAATTCGTTAAACATAATTTCTATAACAATTTTATACTTTTAATACTTCGACTATTCCCATTAATATCTCTCGACTATATCCCATCGAGAGATATTAATGCGGCAAGAAATTTGGATCTATGATAGGTCGTTCTTCGGATTTCGTTTTGATAATATGTGATGAGTGTTATTACAAACATGACACAATTTCACTCCGTCTACGGCTTGCCATATGTAGATGACAAACCCTTTTTCAATATGATTTTATTGTTCGATGGTACAAT